TCCGACCGCCAGCGCCTCAATATCAATGTCTTGAGGGCATTTATCCAGCCACCGATTCCGCTCCAGGTATGATCGCCGTACATCATGATGTGCGAGGCATTGGGGACGGCCCAAAAGGAATTCATGAGCATGCTGGCTTCGACCCCAACCATCCCATACTCGCCAATGTCGAGCCCAAATACACCGATGATGAACCAAGAATAAAACACCAACTGCGCACCAGACCTTCCGAAGATGGTTCCGTCGGGAGACTGGTGTGGATTAAGGTACAACGCCCATATAAGGAGAAAATACAGCGTTATGATAAATGGAGCAAAGCAGCCCACCAAGCCCCGCCGGTAATACCGGCGAAGGGGGAACCCGGGATGCCTGGAATTATGGACAGTGTCATCGTCAGGCTGTCTGCTCGCGAGGTTAGACGGGGTTCCGACTATGGGACGAGCAGGCTAAACTCACTCGAAGGTGCCAGGTTTTAGCAGCGTCGAGTCCGCCTCGAAGTGGGAAGGGCTGGAAGGCCGAGATACATGATCCGGTTCCAGGTCAGTCAGTTCCCATGTATCAGAATTCGGTTCCATTTTAGGAACAATGCTCGGATATGAACGAAAGATGTTAGCTGTTGTAGGTGTTCGCTAGTGCAATGCGATCTTATTTATAATGGACTGGGAAGTGGTGCTTGTCAACAGAGTGGTCCGGTTTCCAGGTTGACGTTTGCTGCCTTGGGCGCTTACGACTTTCAAATCTCTTGGCTGCCAAGCCTAATCGCATCCTCCAGTAGGATGAGCCAGTCACGTACAGAGTTATCCCCACAGAGTTGGCCATGAAAAGTGGCTTGCCGCAGCGCATGCTACCTCAGCCTAGAATGTAAGTATCTGAGAATCTAATGAAATCAATCAATCAGCTGCACTAAACTAGCCGATGTGGCAGTAATAAACACGTGCGTTTGCATGACAAAGCCAGATGCACAAGCGTCTAGGCAGTCTGTGTATCAATAGACGCCAGGCGCATGCTGAATTCGATAAGGCGGTGGTTGAGGTTGTCTGAGAATACGTGGATAATAATGTAGGCTTGAGGCCGCTATACATACCCCGCTTCACATTCTCCGCCATATCATTCACCCAAGTTGACCTAGTATCCTCGTAGTTTTGGAGTATTTGGTTGCGAAGATCTTAGTTGTCATCCTCCACCTTCAAAAGAAATAGTACCTGCTTGATTTGGTCATTGACCCAAGCTTCGCGATTCGTAAAACCAACCGTCTTCCTGCTTCAGGACGAAAATTAATTAAGCTAGAAAAATCATTGTGTGACGCAGCGCACAAAATGGATTCAAATTTACATATCAACTGCTGGTTGATGAATAACGAATCGACCGTTCCACAGTACAGTAGTGATGGTTGGTTTGATGTCGCAGATTCTGCTCCATTCTCCTCAAGACATTCCGGAGTAAATAATTAGCTGTTCACAGGCTTGCTAAGCGTCTCTAAGAAAGCCAGCATGAACCAGAAGAGTATACAAGTCACACAGCTCCTCCTGCTGAAAGCGCTGTACAGTCAGATCACAAAAGCCCTGTCAATTCCTCACAATGCGGACAATTTACGTCGGTATCAGTAGATGGCGGCAGTGCGCAGTCTAGTGTCCTATCAGACCCAAGTGTATGTTGAATCTTATGCACACAGCACTTATTCACTTATCATTATGCTGATCAAGGCTCGTAGCGACGTCGTGCGCAAAATCGAGCTGCTCAGCGGGCATTCCGAGAGCGAAGAGAGAAAAGAGTGAGAGTCCTGGAGGAGCAGGTCGCAGACATCACTCCCAAGTATAATAATATGCTCCGTGATCACGAGATATTGTTACAAGACCATGCTAAACTCCAAGAGATACTCAAGCTGTTGACAAAATATGCAGCGGAAAAAGATAGCGGTAGTGTCCTTTGCCGATTAGTTGACTTAGCTGTGGACAAAGTCGAGTAAATAAGATAGCGGAGAATTTGGACCGGGATACATCTGCCTCACTCAACCACCAGCCTTTATTGAATTCAGCATACGCCTGGCGTCTATTAATGCACAGACTGCCTGGAGCGCTTGTGCATCTGGCTTTGTCATGCAAACGCACGTGTTTATTACTACCACATCGGCTAATAGAAGAACGAGATCGTACCGACCGGCCATGTGAATTTTGGTCTGCTACAGCCCAGAGTGAGTAAAAGCGAGGAAACTGTAATACATATGGAAGGTAAGACTGTGGATTATTCAGTAATAATATTTTCTAATCATATCGAATCGTGGTTCGACGTCTATAGTGATGGCGCACAATCACTTCCTCTCCGTGTGATATGGGAGACCGAAAGAGAGCGGAGAAGTGGGCGAGCAGTTTGACCCGCGGAGCGACGTCAAGTAAATCAAAGCAAAGCAATAGAGAGTACAGTACTAAAATTGGCTCCTTCCGACCTAAATAGAGCTAGGCCTCTTCTCAAACCCTGCTGCTATCAGTAGTTCTCCGACTTTAGCTTCGAACGTCGAACACTCGCTTTCGATTTCATTGGGACCGACAAGATGACTGCGGATTTTCGTATCATGAAGGCGGTGATCTTGGCATAATACTCGCTATTGAGACTTGCTGTTACTCCGCATCAGCGCCACGTCACATGACCTGTGTATATAAAGGGGCTCTCCCGCACCTGTCAATTAGCTCTCCAATTGATTCTTCTAAGTCAGACCGTCACATTTAGAATATTTAAATTTTTATAATCGGCTCGCTAAATTTTAATGAAGTAAGTAATTTATACGCGATACTTGCTTTCCTATAATACTCACTTTCACCGACTGTAAGCGAGAGCCCACAGCTTCACATAGGGGAACCGATTATTATATATTACTTGAACTAATTCTAAATCCAGTCTTCTAATTCTAGTCCCTTCTCAAACGCCTCAACCCACCGATCTAGCTGCCCATAGACCTGAACTAGGACACTCGCAGAATAGTGGCGCCAACTAGCCTCTCGAGAAAACCATTCTAATATCATCTGGGTGACCTGCTTAACGCCTTTAGTGCTTAATACCGCGCTCGTGGACCATATCCTTTCACTCCGCATCCGCATACGCATCTTTTCCACAACGATATCAGGCCCGATAACCATAATAGCTGCCACAGCCTCCCGTACAACCCCGTCATATAAGCACTCTTTGGCGCCTTGTATACTAGAGTACACACTATCGCTGCGCGTTTCCTGTGGCACCGCACACGTTTGGCAGCACTCGCCTACAGTAAATTTGATCTCTTGAAGCTGTGTAATCTCTAAAGTAATCACTTCACGCTGCTCGTCCTGGCACGCCTCCAACGTATGGTATGCATTAACATCATGGCCTAACCTCCGTCGAATGTAGCATATCGGACACTTCCCTAACCACGAGAGTAAGCGGGTGTCAATATCAGACCAATCACGGCCTCGCGTTGATTTCGTGTCATATCAGTCTGCCGCTTGTGCTTCCGTTTAGCATATGCAGCCTCATCAGCCGCATTATTAGCTTCAGAGGCGGGCCCAGTTGATGTGATCCAGCTTAGGCGTGGAGAGTGATAATAGCCCTGGCTGATATAATTCAGGCGGCCCCAAGCACCGGAGACTACCTGAAACACCTCCATAGCCCTCAAAGCACACAGATCATTCCCTACCATGCGCTCACTCAGCCACTGGCAGACCCGGTCAAGGTTTCGTGAGTGGATCCACGAGTCCATCCAGCAATCAAGCTCTTCCCGTACCTCAACGGCCCCTTCAAGTGCAGTCACAATAGTTGAGACGACTACTCCATACTGGCACTTCGATCCGGTTGCGGTCCACTCGTTCAATGTCCCCTGCTTCCAACGGGCACAGAGAAGTTTGGCACGAGGCAAACAGGGCAGCTCTGGGTGTCTGCACCGGCTAGTCGCTGCAGCCTAGTTAAGAATAGCGGTGCCCAGGTCTGAACATTACGGTAGAGACGATCATGGCAGTCGTTAGTTGCATGGCGCTCTCGAGGCCGTATAGAATTCCCTTTGAAGAAACTTATAATACAACCCTGGCTCCACAGATCTAAACACCGTTGAAGCTCTCGTATAGCTCTCTGCTCGTCGGGGCGCAATGTCTTCAGATCAAAAACGCCATGAAATTGCCGTGCCTTGTCTATCTTGGCCTCGATTCGCCGGTTGTGCCGACTCCAGGACGGCCACGGCGCTCTGGGTGAAGACGGCAACCCGTCAACCCGGGCAGTGCTTGGGATCATATCTGGCTCATCCCAGTCGATGGGAGAGTCGCCTTCATGATCAGAGACAGGGGTTCTGCTTGCACCATCTTTCCATGCCTCTACCCGGAGAATGATGTTTGCTGGATGAGCAGGTTGTTTTGCTGCAGGCGGAGCAAGGTCTCTGTCCCCAAAGACGGTGCCTGGCTCGGTGCGAGCTGAGCATCCTTCATAATCTGCGGACACTGATGCTAGGGTAGAGTTCTACGCTTTGTAGACCGCGTACTCGGTGCTTCGTCTTGAAGCCAAGGCGGAGATCTTTGTTTCGCATTTTGAGAATCGATTGTCGTATCTAACTGGCGAGAGGGTGGCAATGGGCCCCTAGCATCCGTATAGATCACTGCAGTGTCTCGAGGAGGCAACACCTTGCTAGGCTGATGAAGGAACTCGTGCCATCGAGCTGATGCCCACTCATAAAACCGTAGCAGCGCCGGTTGTAGCTGTGTAGGGAAAGCTCCATCAAGCCCGTAAGTCGTTGCGCGTTGTATTGGCCGATGTCCGCTTTGCCAGGCAAATACCACATTGATGTCAGCTTCAGCGGTTTTATCGTCGAATCGGTTGAATGATTTGTTTACTTCTTGACGTGCTTCTCGGTAATACCGATGGTTAGGTGGCGGTACAGCTGGGTATTAGCTGGGACTTTCCAGACTTCAGTCAGCAGGTTTCACCTTTCACCATTTCTTTACTCACGCCATGTACCCAAATAACAATCCCAACCGTTAATTCGAAAAGACATCATGGTGTAATGGTCGCACGCACAGCTAAATTTGGAGCGCTATGAGATTCAGGTTCGAGTCCTGATGAGGTCCCACGACCCGAGCAGGGCAAGTCGCTGCATTCATTTAGATGTAGCGACTTGTCCGGCAGGGTCAATTTATTTTGCTTTTGTATCAGGCTTTACATTCATGGTGACTCATTATCGCTTTTCAAGTTGTCTTTTGTTTTCTGCTTCTACCTTTTCTTTGCATTGATTTCTGTTTGTCAGATGGCCTTCTCGGGTAGGTGGTGGGTGGGTGCATTATTACCCGGACTCACAATCGACCTACCAGTCATTTATTCCAACTGCAAGTATTCTGGATCAGTGAATGAATACACCACCACATGTAATAAATTAAACATGAATTTATAATGAAAAGTAGCCCACGAAGACTCTCGGTCTAGTTGACTGACTGTTATGTGACATATATTCAAGTTCCCTCAGACTACTGTTGTCTGTTTGCATTAATTAAGCGAGCTTTAAACAAACAAGCCAGTGTATCTTGTGTCGTGAATAATAAACGAAGCTTTCAGGGAATGAAAAGAAGAAGCCTCTCTTAAGTGTAATTTTTTTTTTGCCATTTAATGACTTAAAATATAGCCGCATTTCCAATTACTCCTCACTCATCTCCACCAAGAACACCCTTAGCACTAACCTTACTCCCTGTAAGCAAAACAAACATCCCCCTCGCCTTCTCAACACCACTGTGCGGCCAACTCACCCTTCCCAACACCCTATACACCTCCACCGAGACCCGCAACGCGCCAAAACTCTCTAAAATTCATGATCTACCTTCCACCCAAACAACCTCCCCTCCCTGACCGGCTCCGCAAGCCTGAAATTCCTATATTTCCAACGCATACTTCAGGACGTTCGCATTATCCCCCATAGAGCGATGGTGAGCCAGATACTAGGATGGACCAGCAGCAACTTCGGAAAATTCGCATACACTTGTAACTCATACAAATCCTCGAGTTGGCTCGTCAGGCGCTCGATATTCTTGATCGTGGCATTTGGAATGCTGTTGTCGCTAATTACTAAGCTGAATGTGACCTTTCAGTGCTTGCTCTTTGATTTTCGTGAATAGATCCTGATGCTGCTGATGCATCTCATCCGGCGATTCCGTTTCAGCAAAACAAAGCGGACAATCACACGCAAAATCCCAATGGAGAGGAAAGTCCTTTCGACGAGTGAGGAAATGGGCTTCGGGCGCAAGGTATTGGTGCGCGAGTTCTGTGTCAGGTGGTATGTCGCCTATAAGCGCGAGTGAGGTTGGATAGGCAGGCGTGGTTGCCTTTGTCCAAAGACCTGTAGAGAGGAGATTAGGTGGTGAGTAGTTTAGGGAGAGGTGTGTTTTAGGAGGTCAAGGGAAATGCGGGGACAACTGAAGCAGTTTTTGAGGCAGATAGCTTCAATTAGGAACCTGTAGATTGTTTGCCATGTTAGTCAATTTGAAGTGCTGAATGCAATGTTGGATTAGATCAGACGTACTAATCAACGACAGGCACCCCTTCCACAACCCCCCTCCTTCACAGACCTCACATATCCACCTCCATCCAAATCCCAAAATCTCTCATTCTCACCACCACCAAGATCCTTATAAAGCTCATGCCTCAACTGCAGAAACAGCGCCGCCTGCGTCGGTCTTTGCGTCCTCGAACTCGAGTTGAAGTTATGCAATACACATCTTTAAACTTATCCTTTCGGTACATATCAGGTAAGCAAACCGCTTTCTCACACAGTACCAAGCTCCTGCATTGATGAATGCCGTTGAGTAATTCGCGTCCGTGGTCTGCTGCGGATCAGACGTCGATGGAATTGCTGTACGTGGCATGGTCGAGGTGGGTGGTACCGTTGGTGACGAATTTCGCTACAGGCGCGAAAGAGTGGATCCCGTCTCTTTGCTCGTGAATACGGGTCTCGACTTGAATGGACTTCTTCTGGATTTTGACGTTCTAAGGGGCGAGCTTGAGGGCACGCTCCAAGTAGCTTTTGCTCTCTGAGTAGAGGCATAATGAGTAGGTAGCGAGTCCGGCGCATTGATATGCTCGTACATCGAGAGCACTTCCCGAAAGAGAAGCGAGAGCATCTTCTTTGGGAGAACTATTTCTCGTATGTCGCGCTTGAATTTCGTCAAGAGCTCGACATTCTTGTAATGGAGAGCTACCAGATCATTCTTACACTGCTTCTGTATTGCGAAATTGCCCTGGCTGTAGGAGGAAGCTTCATAGATACATCTGTGCTAATCTTGGGACAGCTCGTATGAGTTGGCACCTACTGCTTTCTCGGCCGCCATTTTGATTGAAGTCATGCAGTAATCAGAATCGGTGATGTAGCATTCATCATTTCCTCAAGAAATGAACTTGACACACACATCTTTCCACGATCAAGTGTGTAGCCGGTCATAACTTGGCAGCACGGAGAACAAATTCGATCAGTCACGGAGAAAAGCACATTGGTTTGCAATTGGACTCGGGGTAAAGCATCTGAAGATGCCATCGTGCATCGTACATCATGTAAATAGTGTTCGTAGTATTTGAGACGTTCAGTCTTTACTGTGCGGCCACTAGAATTACAAACTGGGGACTGCACAGCCACGCGACTCAAGTTGGAAAGACTGCACTTACTTGAATATTTTAGAGAAATCATTTTCAAAGGGTGAAACTGAATGTGAGCATATTTAATCCAGATTTTTCAGAAATGATCTGATGCCTGCTTCCACGCCCTCAGGACTTGGCTTCTCAGCACAAACATCTGGTTCGTACCCGAAACGATTGCGCAAGAAGTCTCTGGTAGTAGGCCCGATCGTCGCCACATACGTGCTCCTTGGTGTCGATTGCTCTACTGCTCTCGCTTTGCCAGTTTCTAGATCAAGACGACCCAATGCACGAAGCATGGCTTCACATCCCGTGGGAGAAAATACCACAACCCACTTCATGGGGCTGTCTTCAGTCTTTGCCAGTAGCTTCGTGAAGTCCTTTTCGAATGACTCCATGACGCCTGTTCCATAAACTACTAATTCATCGACTTGTATCCGGCGGTCGTCTGGCAATGTAGGGTCCATTAGAGTCTTCGGTATGATATCCCGTCTCTGCTCGCCCACTAGGAACAACAGAGGTGGCTTGACTTTCCGGTCTTGATACCATTCCCCGTAGTGGTCCAGCATGTAGTGCGCTAAAGCTTCCCCATTGCCCATATCTGCCCCAAAGATATTGAAAGGTGGACTTTGCGGAATGGCTCGGAGAGCTCGAGAGGTAGCGGGACCAACGGTGTATATTGGAATATCATGTAAATGAGGCCATTGTGCATTTCCTGTAACCATTATCAGAGAATCTCGAAAGGGTCGTTGGGTATGTAGATCCGCACCTTTCCCCTCCTCGACCAGCCTTGCAAATGCCTCTACCGCACGTTGCGATGTAAATATCATGCCGCCATATTGCTTCTCTCCATCTTTCCCGATCTGCCGTTTCTGCAGTAAGTCCTTCACGACATTGAGTCCTTTGTCGAGGAATTGATGCTCAAGGACTGGTACGAATGCGGGGTCGAATTGAAGACCATCTGTCACGGAAGAGAACCGCTCTTCGTATCCATCATTGGGCGTTGATTTCGTCTTCAGTAGGAGTATGGGTATAGAGCTGCCAGCTCCATTCTTGGTGGTGCTCATCGTCGTCGCATTATGAGGTTGATTGTTGTTGCAAGTCGCGTTGAACAATGACGCAGTCAGGGCGAGGAGGCTAAGCCATTTCGTGAGTGGTGAAGCGAGTTGGGACTGTACGATTGAACACATAATATCACAACAAATACAGGATATTTCAAAATAAATTGAGATCTTTCTTGCACTCACATCTCTACTTGTGAAGGTTTTCTAAAATTCACATTTAAAACTTTGCGTCGTAAGAGAAGTGAGAAGGAAGAGCCATGAATGTTAATTCTGTCGTCACGGGGGTCTTGATGGGTTCGCGTCCGCCGAGGCCCGGCCGACCAGACCGCGTTGACAAATCAACAGCTTCAAGACCTCAACCTGGACTACTTTTCAAGTACATCCCACTTCGCTCTGCACATATCCTACGAATAACAACAATGGCAGATGATACTCGGGAAAACAATACGAATACCAGTACAACTGGAACTGCACCTGAGCCTGTCAAAAAATTCCCCAAGGGAATCATTCTGGGGAAAGATGGCAAACCGTGAGCTCCATTCCCTGTAATATATTCTCCGGGAAACACGTCTGATTACCCAATAGATGCAAAACATGCAACTCTCTCAAAGACATGACATCCCAATCCAAAAGATTCACCAAAATCGCACCACTCGCGCGAACAGAATGTCCTCCAGACGTAGAAGAGCTGGGGCGGTCCTCCTGGACACTCCTCCATTCAATAGCCGCCACATACCCCACGAAACCCACGCCGACGGAGCAGACACAAGTGGGGCAATTCTTGGGCTTGTTCTCCAAGCTGTATCCGTGTTGGGTATGTGCAGAGGATTTCCAGGACTGGATGACGAAGAATAAAGTGAGGACGGAGAGTCGGGAGGAATTTGGGCAGTGGATGTGCGAGGCGCATAATGATGTCAATAGGAAACTTGGGAAGAAAGAGTTTGATTGCTCGAAGTGGGAGGAGAGGTGGAGGACTGGATGGAAGGATGGGAGATGTGATTAGGGTTGGCCGATGTGGGAGGGGTCGGTGTACAATAGAGGGCGGGATTGTATTGATAACGTGGGATATATTTTGCATAGCGTTTGGATATATGGGCATACGGGGAAGGCGTTTACAGAATGTGAGGACGGTCTCAACTCAAAATACCAAGATTTCTCTACCCAAGCTCATGCACCATCGCAGGTCAAGCTGAAGTTGTAAGTGAAAGGTAGCTCTGCACTGTTTTGTCCGCAGCAAATTGTGCTCAAGTCTCTTCATAGTCTATCTCTCTTCGAGCTGTAACACCGTTGAAAATTGCTTATAGGTATGATACAGTAAAGACGGGTGCATCTTAACCTCGACAACAGTTCGTTTCTCCAACATCGAAGCACCCAACGCTCTCACTCAACAC